CCAGATGTGACTCAGGCAGAAAACAATGCAAGTATTGTCTTAATGAGCCTAAACGGTTAATACAAGTTGTCGCACGTTCGGGATTTTTTGGTTGCAATGAATAAAGAAATGTTTTGTACTCGATGTGATTCTCAATGATTGATGATTCATGCCGCAGTGATTCTCAACAATTTTGGTAATTGTGAATATTTATTCACTAGATCCCAGTGGTAATCGGGTTTTGACATCGTTGCTGCGAGAGATATGCCGGGTCGAGCTTCTTGCTCCGATTGTTTATCAGTTTCAGTGGGTTGCTCTGGCCAGGAGTCTGGATCGTGCAGCCATGAAGGTCCCGTCCACCAAAGAGGGTGATCCTTCAGTTGATTGGCCCGTAAACCTCTTGAAACGCAGTCAGCAGGGTTCGCTTTTCCAGGAACGTAATTCCATTGATAACTTGTTAAATAATTTTATGTAAGCTCTTGTATCAAGGTAACACGGTTTCTTACAAAATCTTTCCAGCGAGATGCATGTGATCTTATCCATGTGAGTGCGACTCTTGAATCCGTCCACGGATATGTTGCTGTTATTTCCATGTTTAGAGTGTTCCTGATGTATTGTATAAGTTTTGATAGTAGCAATGCCGCTGTTAGTTCCAATCTGGGAATAGAAAGTCGGTTTAACGGAGCTACCTTGGTTTTTGAACATATCAGTATAGTTTGTTGTTCAGACGCGTTGTGGACGGTGAGGTATATTACTGCAGCCATGGCTAATTGAGAAGCATCAGAAAAGCCATGAAGTTCAGTGCTTGACCCGTTTCTTGTGTTGAGCCATCTTGGGATAGTGATCTGGTTTAATTCCAACAAATCCTGTTTTATAGCTCGCCATTGAGTTGATAATCGCTGTGGTATCGGATCGTCCCACTCAATTTTATGCAACCATAATTCTTGGAGGAGCATTTTTGCCTTAATTACCACTGGTGATAGAAAGCCCAATGGATCGAATATTTTGGCTATGTTGGATAGTATGGTTCGCTTTGAGATTTTTTCGTTGTCCGCTGATAAGGTTGTAGCGAAGGTAAACTGATCCCTTTGTGAGTCCCATCGCAAACCCAGTATTTTTGGAGTGTCGCAGTCGAATGTGATTATCGCTTCTTGGTTTCGGTCTGCGTTAATTGCGATGATAGTGTCTTCATGTGTCGAGTGCCATTTAGCTAGAGGAAAACCGCCCGCATTACAGAGTTTCTTTAATTGTAGTGCAATTTCAATTAATTCTTGTTGTGTGTCTGCACCTCCGAATATGTCGTCTACATATCTTCCTTGAGTAATGCAAGGTACGGCTAAAGGGTAATTCTTTCCTTCATCCTCCACTAATTGTAGTAAAGTTCTGACTGCTAGAAAGGGCGCGGCTCTCATTCCATATGTGACTGTGGTCAGATAATATGGTGTTTCATTCCCTTTATCATCTATCCATAAGATTCGTTGCAGTTCCCAATCATCCTTGTGTACCTTTATCTGTCTGTACATTTTAGTGATATCCGTTGAAAATAGAAATTGATGTTTACGTATCCAGATTAAAACGTCAGTTATGTCTGGATTCAAGTTAGGTCCTGCATGCATTAAATCATTAATAGAACATCCGGAGGTCGTTAAGCTTGAACCGTTAAATACTACTCTTAGTTTTGTAGTCGCACTGTCGGGCTTAAATACTCCGTGATGTGGCAAATAGTAATGCGGTGTATTAGATGAGACTGGATTGGCCTTGGTCATGTGTTTGAGTTCGATATATTCATTCATAAAGTTTTCATAATGCTTGTGATAGTTATTATCCTTTGCTAAGCGTCTGAATAAACTGATTAAGCATTGATGTGCCTTGTTGTAAGAATTTCCAAGACAGTCTATTGGCAGTCTGATTGGGATCCTGACGGTATACATCCCGGTGGAGTCTCTGGAGTAAGTTGCCTTGTAAAACTCTTCGCACCATAGTTCTTCAGGCGTGTATTGGCAGTCTGACGTCGTGGAAACTTCTTCTTGTATCCAAAATTTAGTCAATAGCTCGTGTAAGTCTTCTTCCATCATTTGAGTGGTGGTATGAAACGTAACTGTTCTTTCGTTTTTTGTCGAGTTAGCAGGTCCAATTATAAGCCACCCAAAAATGGATGATTGAGCTATTGGCATGGATGGAGCACCCTTGACAATGTCTGGTTTTATAATTCTTCCATATACATCCGCTCCCAGCACAATGTCGATTGATAATTTTATCTGCTAGTGTGAGATGTTTCAGATGCGGCCACTGAGGTTTTGTGTTGAATGATGGAAGTGTAGTTGTCAAGGACTCGAGTATGTGAGCATAGACTGTAATTGAAGACGTTGGAGAATGAGTAGATATTAAAGTGATAGATACATAACCTTTACTGAGAATAGATGTTTTTCCGCCAATTCCATAGACTTGAACAACGGAGCGTTCTCTAATCAATTGTAATTTATTAATTACTTCTTCAACAACAAATGAGGTTTCAGATCCAGAATCCACTAACAGTCGAGCTCTTATGGTGGCTGTTGGTGACTGAATCTTGACTATTGCAGTGGCCAGCAGAGTGTTGATCGTTGGCCGTCTGACCGTGAACTCGTCTTGTCAAATAATGGGCTTCTCCTCCTCCTTCTCATTTGAGCTTGCTAATTGATTGTTGTGTAGTATGGAATGGTGTCGTTTATTGCACTTATTGCAACACATCTTACTCATGCAGTGGCCCTTATGACCTTGTAAACAGTTGATGCATATGTTATTATTTTTTACGAATGTCCATCGATGTTCGATTGGTAATTCCTTGAAGTAATTGCAACT